CAACCAAAAAGGTGTGGGTGTGGTTCATGGTTGGTTTGGAATCAGGATTTTTAGCCAAATTAGCCAATTAACTGATACATAAGTGAAATTAAGTAACGGAGTGAGAATTTGAATCAGTCGAAAAAACACGTCCGTGGACGGGTTATCGATTGTTGTGCGGTTGCGATTCTTCACGGATATGATTTGGTCCGCGTATCTGCGCAACTGTGCACGCATAAGTAAGGACTCAAGTCCTTGATAAACAATTCAGGTTACTCTCTTCCGGCCTTCAGTGAGACCTGATTATAGGTAAGGGCTGTGACCATAACTCATCTGACGTTTTGGCTTGAAGAACGGAAGCAGTATGATGGACCTGATTTTAAGCAAAGAAATTCAGTTTGTACCAAAGGAATTAGATTTCGTGAAACTGTATTTTATAGAGTAGAGCAAGACAGCCTAGAGTCAGGAGACGAAACATTCGACGAAACGAACTGGAGATTCTGAGAATTTCAATGGATACAGAATAGAGATTGCGTTCAATATTTAAATGTCTGAATGAAACATAAGATAAATATCAGACGATAAGTGATTTTCAGTCATCTCGTGTTCTGAAGGGGACAACCAAAATCACCAGAGCAGCCGCTTTATTCACCGCTGCACTGTACAACCAACTACGACTCACAAACGTCTTCTGATGTTTTAAAAATAAGTATCAGTTGATGCGTAAAAGAACACAGATGTACAACACAATAAATCACGCTAGCTAACAGAGAACAGATACTGAGCCCCCTAACCAATTAGTTCTGCTGAGAGTAGACAAGGACTGGTTCCTACCTAAGGTAAGGCCGTCATTGAGGGTCTTTCCTTCTACTGGAGAAGACCATGATGATTGCTTCTCGTGGTGACAGTCGGAGCTGCATTTGAGTAAATGAGACAAGAGCAGCTACTTCATCTAAAACAGTTGGAAAAGCCGGATTTCAAATCACCCCAGAAACAACCTAAGAACTGGTTTATATACCAGTCGCAATGGTTACGGACGCAATTGCGCGATAGAGCGTATCGGGATCTGTGAGCCGAACCACAATGACGTAAGATTGGAATGACTGTCCCTCGATGAACTTCGGTTACCATGATCTGCCCCGCTGGCTTGTGGATCAGGCTCTGGCTAACCGAATGCTTCGATTTTGAATCCCGTAGAGAATCCGTTTAACTGAGCAACCTGGAAGCAGTGCTTCTACGAATAAACCATCCGTTGGTTTACGTGTCATAAAACTGGACATGATACATAATTGGCTTGGGGCAAATGCTGATAACAAGAATCGAGCGAGCCACTACTGAACGGCTTCGAAAGCTGGGAACTCAACAATTTACAGATAACCAGCGGCAGCATAAATAAACATTTAAACTGATCCAATGAGCCTATGATGCTGCCAATTGTAAAAAATGATTGACGTCGTGTGGCACAGAACATCGAAGAGTGTAACAACATAAGGAGCGAAACAACATGGACTGAATGAAAGAGACAAACTATCGATTGAAATCTTACCGAATAGCAGGCGCTGACATGAGAGTGATCAGCAACAGACGCAGCTGTGTCAACGAGTGGCTGGGTTTTACAATGAACACGTGTTTTAGAAAGAAAGAATTCAACTCGGCCAACTGCCATACGATGATGAGCAGACTCAGTAGAACGCTGCGCAGAAAAGAAGAATCGCGATGCAACCAACGCGTGGGTGTCCAGCTGTTTAGAGAATGAAACAGGATGATGGAAACAGTTCGGATCAGATCATTGAAAGGTTAAACGAATGAAAATAAATGAATACACATTAAGCGTTCCAAACGATACATAGGGAGGACAAGAGAAGTTGTTTTACCAAGTCGCCTCAAATACAACTATACACGTCATTTATTGTAACAAGCGAGTATATGACATCACCGCTGATAATGTGCTCAAGAACAGGTCTTCCTCAAGGCATTATACACACACACATCCGGGCCAAGAATTGTGTTATTATCCAATAGCCCCACATGTCACCTATGAAAAATCGTCTCCTTTCGATTACACGCTCATAAAAATCATTTTATTGAACGCTTCCCACTTCCTGTATATCATATATTCAACGATATTGAAATAAAATGGCAAGAATTAAGATGAAATACCAATTGAACATTTGAAAGTTCAAGGCAGACTCCATATTTTTTTTATTACACACCTAAGTATGATGAACGGCAGACGGAGCGAAACCTCACAGTCACGAGGACCTGAGTTCAGAGATGGAAACCTGCAACCTAAGCCCCGAGACTTGGAATGGCGAACCACAATAGGGCCCCGGTAGGTTAGGCGTGGTATTGAGCCGGGCGACAGCACATCTGCCTACCACCAAAGTCAGGTGGCAGTGGCTCGAACCTCGGACAATAGGGTCCAAAGCAAGCCTGTGACAGCGACTAAACCACTGCGCCACCACCACGACCACCCATACTGGATTACGAGAAACGACTGCAGAGTAAATTGTGTATCCGAATATGTGCATGTGAAACACTTACAAAGATGCAGAAAATAAGCTGATCAAAAGCACGATCATTTTCAAATTAGTTGGGAATTAGTGGTGTGGATATGGCCAAGACGGTCTAGCGCTAAAAACAAATGACTCGGTAATTAGGTTATTCAATAAAGGGAAGAAAAAATTGTTACCAATGACCTCCGTGTATGCCATGATATACAGAAAGTCCATGCTATTATTAGTAACCCTCAATCACCGCCACCTGATAGCAATGGCGTATGTTCGGATGTTTCATATTAATAATCCCAAACGTCTGCGCCACGTTCTATAGCAGTAAGTGCATGTTTTACACGTTCTATCGGCCCTTTCAATAAAATCGCCAAGGCACTATGACCCACTCGGTCTTCTACCAATTCGCGTTCGTCTTGAGTGACTTTGAACTTTACGCATTGTTCTCGTACTGCACGCCATCCTAACTGCCCTGGACCATTCAGTTAGTTCATACATTTTGGTTTTCTTCATTTCATACAA